GAGGACGCGGAGGAGGAGATCGAAGGCGGAAAATATTTTACAGAAACGTGGAAGGAAAGGCGCGCGGAATTCGTAATCTGTATGAAAAAGAAACTATCGCGTTGTTATGCAAAGAGTGCTCGACGACTGCGTCGTTAATTTATGGTCGCCTCGGAATATACGTTCGCGCCGTTTCGAACGGAATCACTTTTTTAACGTTGACCCGGAGGACTGGAATGTTTTTGAGACGTCAGGCCGACCAGTTTTCTATTAAATGAGTATAAAAACATGATTATTTTCCAACGTCAAGCTGCGAATTCTCTTGTGCAAGAGACAAATTTCTTTTTCCATCAATTGCAACTGATTAAATAATCAGTAGACTGCGGATGTTCATGCAGAAGACAAATGTTTTTCATTAATTGCAACAAGTCTTATTGATTTTTCTTTCTTTGTTCAATCATTATTCATTGGTATGATTCTTGTGCGAAATCAACATTTTCTACACTAATTGTAAGAAACATGGATCAAATAGAAACAAATTATTTAAATCCTTTTATTCTTATTATATTTCACACTCAGTTACTTTTGTCACAAAAATGCATAAAATCCACATTCTGTCTCAATCGTTATCATGAAATTTAAATAACACATAGATATTCTTAACATTCATTTAATCTAACTACTGTTTTAATTATATTTATTGTATTAAACCATTTCATTGTATAAGACCCATTGTTTGTAATACAACATTTTTAATAACATGATACAAATTCGGGATCGCATTGTACATTACAGTAACATTCATCACATTTATGTTAAGGTCGTTTCAGATGAATTTATACCAATATTTCAATTTCAGTGAAACAGTTACTTATATGTGTTACAAACTCTTACATAAATTGTGGCGAAAGATAACATTTGAATTGATTCTTGTCTAAGATAAATAATCTTGGTACCTGTCATTCAATTACAATAATTAAAATTAATGATTCACAAACGTATTTTCGACACGGAGAGAAGGCCAATGAAAAGTTGTTTTCGCGACACATTATGAAACCCCAGTGATGCAAAGAGAAAGTATCATTCTCCGATATAAAATATACTTATATATTTATTTGTTGCAATATTTAAAAACTTTTAACAAACCATCATATTTGTATATTTTTATATTAGAAATAATAGAAAATGGAAATGTACAAATATAATATTTTTTAAATATCAGTAAAAATGTAAAACGTATTCCGAGTTCATAAATATTTATATTCTATATTAGAAATAGTGTGTAGAGAAAATAGAAATATAAAAATATGATAATTTATTAATTGTTTTTTTTAATATACGCGTTGTCACAGCTAAAGGAGGCAACCTACAATACTACGAATAATTATAAACTCATAGTAATTTTTATATATGAAAAATAATAGAAAAGAGAAATATAGTATTCTGTTAAGCTTTCGCTTAAATATCACTAAAAATGTAAAAGTTTACCCCGAGTCTATAATTATTCACACTCCCCCACTGTATTTCGTAAATAATATAATACATCATTCAAGCGCTTCTAAAAAAGATAATTCCGAAATTGCGAATAAATCAGATTCTCGACCACTAACTGCCGAATCTCTTGTAAACGCTGCAAGAAACTTTCGCGTTCAACTTCTCGCGTGCAGAAGCAGACTACTACATTCGACTAATTTCGTTCATCGTAAATTAGGATAGATGTCCAATATCCAGAAGCAGCAGAATCTCCTCGATTCCCGTTCACCCTGGCGAGCAGCGGGGATCTGTTATCAACGACGCGTTTCATAAATTCCGCGAGTATGGTCCTTTTCACGCGATGCAACGCGACGCGACATGTCCATAAAGAATCGTGCACGTCGGACCAGTTTCCCGCGAAAACCACGAGCGTTACGACGGGGGTGAGAAAAAGAGCATCGTAAAAATTCTTGACAGTTTAAATCGAACGGTTAGCCGGTTTACAGAGGCATTCGCTGTCAGCACGTAGTTGGCTGCTCGCGGCCATAAAAGACCGCAGAGCGCGGACAACACCGTGGCAGAACGGAGTGTAACGTGTAGCGACAAGCAGGCAGGTTGACGAGGTGCCTTCTCCGCGGCTAGTTGGGAACCGATCATCATTGCGAGCTGGTAATCAGCTACGAGCTGCTTCGTCCTCTCAGTCTCTTTTACTCTTTCATTCTCTTTCTCTCTCTCTCTTCTTCTCACTCGCTTTTACTCTGTCTCTCTTCTTCTTTTTTCTCTCTTCTTCTCACTCGCTTTTACTCTGTCTCTCTTCTTCTTTTCTCTCTCTATCTCTCTGCTCCTTCACTCTTTCTTTCTTTTTCCATCTTCCTATTTCTCTGTATTTTCTCTTCTTTCTCTCTCTCCCATTTTCTTTCTTTATCTTTCTGTTTCTCACTCTTTTCTCCTCGTTCTTTCTCTTTTTCTCTTGCTCTCTCTCTATTCTTTCTTTTCTTGTTCTTTTCCCTGTTTATCTTGCTTTCTCTCATTCTCTCTTTCCCTCTCCCTTTTTCTTTCTTTTTCTATTTCTATTTTGATCTGTTTCTCTCTCTTTTCTCTTTCTTTTTCTGTTCCTCTTGTTCTCTCTATTCTTTCTTTCTTTGTTCTTTTCTGTATCCGTTTCTCTTGCTTTCTCTCATTCTCTCTCTCTCTCTCTCTCTCTCTCTCTGTCCCTCCGGTATCTCCTCGAACATTCCTTCTTCTCAACTTGTTCCCTAGTCCTCCGATTTCATCGTTCCCTCATTTCTATCCGTCCCTCTTCTTTCGCCACTTCCTCCTCGCCTCCTTTCTTCTTGGCTTCCCTCGCCCGCGGTCCTGCGAATTCACTTTGCTCTCTCCGTTGGGCGCAAATTGTCTTCCAAGAATGGTACGTTTCAGATTATAAGAAGGTTCAACGCTCGCGTGATTACGAGCGAGCAGTAGCAAACTCGTCCCTTGCAACCTCCGACTTTGTTCCATTTGCTTCCCTTCCTAACGGAACGTTTGCTGCTCTCTGTTACCACGGTTCTCAGCTCTGTTCACCATTCTCTCTGTTCTCCGTTTTCGGTTCTCTGTTCTCCATTTCCAGATTCGCCACCCGCTTTTGTTCCCTTCGTCTTTCTATGTAGATTCAGCCTGTTTCAAATGATTCGCATCTACGGCTCGTTCTGTCGCGGCTGCGAGGCAACATTTATTCCGCGCGGAAACACCGTCGCGGTTTTCCTTGTTTTGCGGGATCAGAAGTTCGTAGAGGAGCAGCTATCCTCTCCCGTTTCGCGGTCCATGATGTCGCCCGCGGTACTCGCTGTTCATTCGGCGATTGCTGGAGCAGTGGAGTTTTGAATATGTATGATGTGTTCGCCGGCCGATTTGAATACTCCGTGGTAAATCTTCACTTCGATCGAGTAGCTCGCGTCTTTTCAGTCCTAGGGATTTCGAGGCGTCAACTTTGAAACAAGGCAGACGATTCAGCTTGATGTATATCATGCGATGTTTCTTAGACTTATTAAACTTTTCAATCACCACCTTGTCGGGGTCACAAACTGACTACTTAGTTTTTATTAAGGGGTTATATCCCTTTTAGTGGCCGGGAAATAAGGCTACTTTTGAAAATACTTTACGTTTATCATTATTATTTTTTTCTTATTTATTCATTTAGTGTTTATACAGGGCAAATATAAAGAAAATATAATAAGTTCGTAATTAACGGTTAAACAATAACGTAAGAGTAAATAAAACCGGATGCTGTCATATTACGAAACGGTTAGGTTTGTCGTTCCACATTTATTATACATAGAGTATTGTGTGTTAATATTAGTGTGTTAATAAAGTGTGTTACAATTTACTGAAATAATGCAAAGGAAGAGTCAGAAATTTTAGTTTATTTAACAAATTTTGAATAGAATGTTATTGGAAATATTCGGCCAATTTATTCTGAAATATATCTGAAATATGATCTTATTCGAAATATTTCCCGAATAAAATTGTATCGAAGAATTCATTTGAAATATTTCTAATATTCTATTCGAAGAGATTCATCAAAAATATTTCTCGAATAAAATTCTACTCAAAGAAATGTATCAGAAATATTTCTCGAATCAAATTCTACTCGAAGAAATGTATCAGAAATATTTCTCGAATCAAATTCTACTCGAAGAAATGTATCAGAAATATTTCTCGAATCAAATTCTACTCGAAGAAATGTATCAGAAATATTTCTCGAATCAAATTCTACTCGAAGAAATGTATCAGAAATATTTCTCGAATCAAATTCTACTCGAAGAAATGTATCAGAAATATTTCTCGAATCAAATTCTACTCGAAGAAATGTATCAGAAATATTTCTCGAATCAAATTCTACTCGAAGAAATGTATCAGAAATATTTCTCGAATCAAATTCTACTCGAAGAAATGTATCAGAAATATTTCTCGAATCAAATTCTACTCGAAGAAATGTATCAGAAATATTTCTCGAATCAAATTCTACTCGAAGAAATGTATCAGAAATATTTCTCGAATCAAATTCTACTCGAAGAAATGTATCAGAAATATTTCTCGAATCAAATTCTACTCGAAGAAATGTATCAGAAATATTTCTCGAATCAAATTCTACTCGAAGAAATGTATCAGAAATATTTCTCGAATCAAATTCTACTCGAAGAAATGTATCAGAAATATTTCTCGAATCAAATTCTACTCGAAGAAATGTATCAGAAATATTTCTCGAATCAAATTCTACTCGAAGAAATGTATCAGAAATATTTCTCGAATCAAATTCTACTCGAAGAAATGTATCAGAAATATTTCTCGAATCAAATTCTACTCGAAGAAATGTATCAGAAATATTTCTCGAATCAAATTCTACTCGAAGAAATGTATCAGAAATATTTCTCGAATCAAATTCTACTCGAAGAAAATGTTTATTCGAATCAAATAGTGTTCGTACAATGACCGACTCAGCGTCTCAGGAACGTCGTATAAAACGGATTCACGAAGAGGATGTAAAACGATTTATTTTGCATTTCCAGCTGCCATACTCGATGTCAATAGACATCAGCAATCCGTCAGCCTTGAGCAGTTCCCTGAACATATCGCAGGCTGGCGAGATCCCGGTGGGTGGTCTTCAAACGTGGGCATTGGCGTTACATTGCGGCCCGTACGACGCGGAAATCGATCTCAGTCTTCGTATAAATGTCTCCCTATCGAGACGGAACACGACCAGCCTGGACTTCAGACGGAAGAAAATCTGTTTGAAGGATAAGAGCAATATAGGTGCCGAGGAAGTGCTGGTCGCCGCTTCTGGAACCACTTCCGGCGGACAAGTGTTTTACGCTGCCGTTGGCTGCGTCTGTGCCTTCATTGCCGCCATCTTTGTTCTGGTTATTGCATACTATGTGCGGGATAAAAAGACCAGAAGGCATCGTGACCCTCTTCAGTAAGCAACCTTATCTTAATTTACTTGTTCTATAATTATGATCGCCCCATTCACGACATACGGCGTAACTTGTCTCATTAATTAGTAGATTAAGTAGACTGTGCTGCATCATGCATTCGCGGCTTGTGGCCGAACTTGCGTAGCAGTCGGTGCTCTCCGATTCTATTTTTAATAAATTGATAGGATTTCATATGCTATTTTCTCCGCGGTTGATTGATGTGTATATGTTGAAAAGAAATTTTGTATGCAGAAGGTAATTTTGCGGCACATTAATTCCCTCTTTTTTGTGTTAATAAAATACGCGTTTTACGAAATCGTGTCATATGAAAATCTTCTTATAACACGAATAATGATATGTATAAGCGGAACATTTTGTTCGATAGAAATAATTTAATGAATTTATTTCATTTTGTCATATATGTATATTTTATCGTTATTTCTTCATTTTATCATACAGTTCGATGGACGGGTGATCGTTTATTTATAATTAAACTGAGGATTTCATGCACTTATGATGAAAATGAATAGCTGAAATACAAAACAGTAAAAACGTTTACAGAATTTAAAATTACTCTTGCATTATTTTCAACTGAAAATGATCAACAAATGGAATCAATGACTAGGCAGCTCCTGGATTTCATAATTAGTGCGGACAATTTTTATTTTGCATAAAATTCCACATTCTATTTGTTTTATTACAAGGGAGAATCCTGCAATGTGCAACGACATCTTGAGTACAGAAAATCCTGTGAATATTTAATTCAAGTTGACGCTCTACTTACCACAAACATATTGATCTAATTAAATGACTTCTGAATGACTGTGGCATATCAGATAGAAACTTCGAAATTTTCTTTTTATCGCACTCT